TCCCTAAGGAGACGACCTTGAAACTTTTTTAGAGTTAATACATGACACATAAGCCTCCTTGTGCTTGTGGAGCAACTATTGTATCACCATAATTTTGAGGTTACACCACGCTTGGCACTCAGATACATTCCAACATACCCTTCAAACGAAACACCCCTTGAGGTAAAATAAATCAAGTAGTCTTATTATTCAGTTCTGCGACCGATAGGATCTTATGACCAAGCGACAACTTGATAATTCCATTAGCAAGTAGATGATCAAAAATTTGATTAGCTTTTGAAATGTCAAAGTCAAACTTTCAACCGCTTCTGTCGCTTGTGCCTTTGTCAACACTCGTTGCGGCTTGTGCTTAATTCTCTGGAGGCTTTAGTTAAAGCATTACAAATGTACGGTCGACTCACCACGATCTCAACTATGTTCACCTCTAACTCTTGATCTGTCTCAACCATAAAGATCTCAATGTTGGGAACTCTATAGTATGTTCATTTGGACGCGTTTCTTCAGTCCAGCTTTTTGCGCAAGATATGCTCATATCGTGTGGCTTGCTTGACCAGCTCGAAAAGTTCTTTGAAATCCATCCCTTCGAACTTCTTTCGAAGCTCAAACCTCAAACCATTTTGTGTAATCCACAGATATTCCATCTTGGACAGCACCAACTTGCATCGGTTCCTAGCTTTTTTTAACCACACAATGTATTGCTTCGCCATTTCTCTAGTCATCTGGTACAACTTGGCCAAATCGGCCATGGCAACTACTGGCTCAGTGCGGTAAAATTAAGTGTGAAATTTGTCTTTGAGTTGTTGCCAACCTAACACAGAATTGGGCAGCAAATCATTGTAACACTTGAAGGCCGATCCTATTAAGGAATTGGAAAATGGCCTCAACTTCAGGAATTTGTTAGCTCCAGCTTCATCACACTAAACGGTGAAGGGGCCAATGAGTTCCACATTCGACTGACCATCTTCACCCAAAAATTTAGCAATCAATGAAACTTTATACCCCCGCGGATACTCATAGTCCCTGTCCACCATTCGGGATGAAGTTTACGACATGTTAGCCTAATTAGTCTTCTCATCATGGGGTCGACGTGTTCTTGAATGATTTCATACAGTTGGTTCCTATCCATGATCACCTAGGGTGCCATTGGAATAACGATCGGTGGTTACCTTTATTGCCCCCTAACCTTGGGATTGGGGGTCATCTCTTCCTCAAAAAGAGGATTGTTGTTGCTCCTGAGGCCATTCTTGGCCTGCTATGCCCTATGAGGCGGCATATACAAAGGAAGCACTGGTTGTGGTGCTTTGACTGGAGCCACCTACATAGGGGGAAACAATGGTTGTCTCCTACACCTTGGACAACTTAGACTGTCTGCTATCCACTAAAGTACTTGTCTGGTGGCACCAAATTCTTCTTTGATCAAGTCCCCCAAGCCTTGGATAAAACTGGAGAGATGCTATGAGAAGTCATACGAAACAGCCTTGATGGAGGCCTCTGGCTTTGAGTTGGATTCGCGATTCTCTTTTTTCCTACAGGTTGGGAATGTCATGCCTGCTTTCTTCCATAACTTTGTGCACTAGAGGCACTTCAGATGAGCCAATCTTGGCCTTACCTCGTGGCCATGCTATCACTCTGATGGTCTCATCAGGCATGCTCAAAAATATGTTTGATGTATTTTCGGATTACGGGTGTGATAAAGTCCAAGTGGATTTAAAATCCAAACATGTATAACCTTACCTATTCGAACTGATGTGAGGTTCTAAATTGTGCCTATTCCGGTGATTGTAGTGAGACGTCAGGTTATTTCTAGGTTCTTTTCTATGCCTTGGAGCTTCAAGGACTTTAAATAATCTCACCGATCAAAGACATGTGAATATTACTGAAAGTAAATAGTGGGAATGCAAAGTAACAATTAAATTCGAATCTAGAGGATGAATTGAATACTGGACTTAACATTAAATAAAAGCAATAAAAGATCACTGGAGTGAGAAAAACAAAGGTTGCTCGGAAGTAAGGATTAAGTAAAAAGATACTATCTTTGTGGAGAGTATTTGTGTTTGATCGTGGGATCTCTTTCCAGTAGCCTAACCTCTATTATTTATAAAAATGACTCTCAATCGTTTATCCATTTTTTTTGGCTACAACTTGTGATCATGACATTATCCCTTGAGACACAAGAATGTTTGCTGAACCTTTTTTAACTGACGGCTCATAATGTCACATTTTTTCGTTTCTCAAGATTGCAAGAGTCATATTCTTCTAACCATCCTATCGATTGTGCACTCTCATAGACTCCCTTGTAACTGTCAGATTGGTTCCACGTGTCACTCTCATATCTTGCTATTTTTGGGTATAAACAGCTCCACCAAAAAAGGGATGACACTCATATTCTCCAGCACTCGCACTCTTCCAATACCAAACTTAACTGTCCACATGTCCGGCCAAATTTTATTCACTGCAAATCGAACTAAATTCTTCTTTCAGGAAGATGTGAAAGTAATTTTTATGTAGTTACTTTGATTTAAGACCACCAAATTATTCAAGAGTTAACTCCAGTTTCCTATTATCAATTTTCCAGCCAATGTCTCTATAAAACCCTTATCTTCCCTGACTATGCCCAATCAAATATGTATTCTAACATTTTTGAGTCATCAAATTCTGCTAATCGATTATACTTGTAATAAATTTCTTTAAAATTTGTCTTTCAATGGATAATTCTGGACTAGATTGCTATAAGAAGAAATGTGTCAATGCAAAGGCAGATCTTTTAAATTGTGCGATGTGTGGTCACAAGAGCAAGTACAGTAAAATCTGTTGGAGAGGGAATACTAGAGGAAATACTTGAGGACGACGTAGAAGATTATTGCAACCGGAGAGGATTGCCGGAGAATCAGAAGCAAACAATGACAACCCATTTCGAATTTGTTGGTGTAACCCTAACCACACTGAAGTAACCCAAAACTAATGCAAATTGGGACCCACTTCTAATTAAGTTGGTATGAATGTCACACATCTATTTCTGACTTTTACTATATTTCGCTGACGTGTTTATCATCCATTGGTTGATTGGAAACCTCTTCGTTTTTGGTTAAGTCGGATATAATTTAAACTCTTTTCGAATAGCCTATTTGAGTTCTTTTTTTTTTTTTTGGGACAAATTACACATTAACCCTCAACTATGTTACCTTTTTCATATTGTCCCTTCAACTATAATATTTTTTACATTCCACCTTCAACTATGTGATTAGTTTTACTTCACCCCAATTATTATCATCTATTATATGTTAAATGGAAAATTGTTTCATTTTATCCTCTAAATTACCTAATTTTTCTCACTTTTTCCAACATGTCGGTAATGTCCGTCCAAAAAGATAGCAGACGTTTTGTGATTGAGACATTGCAAAATAATTTGAGCAGTTGAGAAGATAATATTAAAGATTCAATAGTTTAAGGAACAAATTGAAATTGAGTCCATTTTTCACCCTGATTATTCTAACAAGTATTGGCCGCATTTTTTTTTTTTTGGGTTAAGTATACTTTCAACCTTAAAATTCACAATGATTATCACCTTAGTGCGTAAATGATTTTGTGCGAATTTTTGTTTTATTAAAAACTTGACAAAAAATGTCACATATTATCAGTAAAAATGATATGTGCGTATCAAGTTCCACATGTCACTGTAGAAAAGATCAACAAAAGGGGGAGGGGGGGGGGGGGG